TGTGTGTGTGTGTATATATATATATATATATATATATACAGTATATATGTGTGTGTACACAATGTATATATGTGTACACACACACACACTATATCATGAATGTCTTGCCATATGAAAATGAACCCGTCAAATAGATGTCTGGCTGACGTACACATGCTTTCAGAGTTGTGGCTTACTAATGTGCAAAACTAAAATATAATGTTGAACAACCAACACAATATGCAACTTGAACAAAGAGAAGTCATCTGTGAAAGTGTATTGTGTATCTGTCAGTATCCTGTAAACGTGCAGGGGAGCGTCTGAATCTGAAAAGGGCAGATGAGTGGAGAGATTTCTATATGTTTTCATACAATATGACGTTTCAGACTGATGAAGTGTTACTATGGTACATTGTGTACTGTTTGCTTTCAGTGCATAATTGATTTTAAATGCTACCTTTTGGGTTCTTCCGTGACTTCAGAACAATTAAGGTAGATTTTTGTGTTTAACCGGTGTAACTAGATTATGAATCTGTTAGGTCGTTCAAGGGGAAACAGTTAAAGACTGACAGAATGGAAAGAGTCCTTTAACGTGTTTGTAAAGAATATATTTGTGGTGTTCATGAGCTGTAGTAACGGTGAGAGGTTATTGATCTTGAGAGTAAGGTGTGTGTCAGTGCTGATGTGTGTTATGGAGGAGCTCAGACAGGCCCTGACGTGTGTGCTTGTATTTTTAGCTATCTGACGGGAGACCAGTTTTCCAGTGAGTCGTCTCTGGAGGCGTACGCCCGCTGTCTGCGGATGGGCTGCAGATGCATCGAGTGTGAGTCTCAACGCAGTGCTCAGCCAGCCATTATTAATGTTACACGAATGCTTTATATGTAAAATATTTCTGTTTTTTAACCTAGAAACTAACATGCTGATAATACAGCTTTTTTGTATTGAACAATGTATCTTACAATAGGTTTTTTTATTTATTTTATTTTTTTCACCTTTTCCTCCCGGTAGTAAAACTAGCGGGCTGCACTAGTATGACACAATGTATTTACATTTTTTTAGTTGGTAAATAATAGCATGCATTTTCTGCTGTTTATTGTTCTAGGTTCTGGGATAAAACAAAACAAATCTGAATTTCAAATACTGGTTTGTTTGTTTGTTTGGTTCTTTTGGTTTTTGTTTGTTTAATTCTGTTTGGTTTATTTGCTTTTTGTTCGTTTGTTTAATTTGTGTGTTTCACGTGTTTGTTTTGTTTTGTTTGCTTTTGGTTTGTCTCATTTGTGTAATTTTTGTTTAATTCTGTTTGTTTTATTTGCTTGTTTCATTTATGTGCTTCATGTGTTTGTTTCTTTTGGTTTCTTCATTTCATTTGAGAGTTTGTTTCTTTTGGTTTGTTTGCTTGGCTCTTTCGGTTTTCGTTTAATTCTGTTTGGTTTATTTGCTTTTCATTCATTTGTTTCATTTGTGTGTTTCATGTGTTTGTTTCTTTTGGTTTGTCTCATTTGTGTAATTTTAGTTTAATTCTATTTGGTTTATTTGCTGCTTCTCATTTGTTTAATTCTGTTTGGTTTATTTGCTGCTTCTCATTTGTTTAATTCTGTTTGGTTTGTTTTTTTCATGAGTTTGCTTCTTTTGGCTTGCTGCTCTTGGTTTGTTTGTTTGCTTTTTTTATTTAACAAACATGCACAGTAACAAACATGCAAACAAAAAGTGCAAAAATGTATAACAATTATATTTATTTATTGTAGAAACTGAAATTTGACGAGAACTATTTATTTTTTAGAACTAGAACTATGCGACTAGACTGACGCGGCAGTATCTGTGTCCTGTAAGTGTGTTGTTGTGTGTCTGGCATCTGGCTGTAATGTGTGTGTGTGTGTGTGTGACCCTCACCACCAAGATCAAGTTCAGCGATGTGCTTTCCACCATCAAAGAACACGCCTTCGTTACGTCTGAGTGAGTGTGGCGTCTGCACACACCAGTTCTCTGTGTGTTTGTGTGATGTTTTGATACGGGAATCTTCTGAATGTGTGTTATGCAATCATCAACACTTTGGTGTTTGCACGCAGCTATCCCATCATCCTCTCCATCGAGGACCACTGCAGTATTGTCCAGCAGAGAAACATGGCCACCTACTTTAAGAAAGTGTTTGGAGAGATGCTCCTGACCAAAGCGGTGGACATCTCAGCCGACGGTCTCCCCTCGCCCAATCAGCTCAAGAGGAAGATCCTGATCAAGGTGAGAGCCCATTGGCTACATGGCAGGAAATGCCATCAAGATTTTCTCAGCTAAGAACATTCATTGTTGGATTGATGTGTTCAGCACAAGAAATTAGCTGAGGGAAGTGCGTACGAGGAGGTCTCGTCTTCAACGCCCTACTCTGAGAACGACATCAGCAACTCCATCAAGAACGGCATCCTGTACCTGGAGGATCCCATCAACCACGTGAGCTCACCTTCATCTGCTCGTTTAGAGACGTTAAATCTGACGGCAGATTGTTGAGGCTCATCGTGGATGTTCACTGTTGTCCTCACAGGAGTGGTATCCTCACTTCTTTGTCCTGACCAGCAATAAGATCTATTACTCTGAAGAGACGTCAAGTAATCAAGGGAACGAGGATGAGGAGGAGCACAGAGAGGTGAGGAAAACACAATCTCAGGAATAACAGCAGCACTGCTAACCTGACTGCAGTGTAATGGTCATTCAGCTGCTCTCAAATAAGTGTAGCTTCAGGGTCCCCCGCGAGTTGCAGAAAATTCAGTTTTATTCAATTCAGGGTCTTTAAAAGTCAAGTGCCTTTATGGTATAACTCGAAGTCTTGATAATCATTGGGGACAGACAAACAGGAATCACGGTTTGGTGTAATTTGATCACATAAACCCATTATAATAAATGCCATATTTAGCTACCTGTGCCCTTCAGCAATCGCATAAAGTTATCAAACACTAAATTCTAAATTAAGATGAATCTTTAAAGCTACAAAAGTGATTGATTTCCTCTCTTTTTTTTTTTGTTCTTTGATGAACAGACATCACAGCAGCTGTTATGAGGTTATTTTGGCTGCTGCTGAACATGACGCGGATCTGACACGCATCATAGTTTCTCATAACTCTTTACCTTTTCTGACCCACCTCAGGTCTTAAAGTCTCTATAATGAGCTGACGAGTTGAATCGGGTGTGTTAGATGAGGGAGACAGTGTTGCTGCTCCACGACAGTTTGGAAAACCTTTTCAGAGACATGTTCTTAAATGGGACTCATATATATAACAAATACTTGCATACATGCACAGTTTTAAGGTAGTTTTAATCGCCTTTTTGGTAACTTCATGACTTAACTGATGACATAACTACAACACTGCACGCTCGTAGTTTCTTTCGCGCTTTAATATGAAATTATATACAGCGTGCGCCACTGCATTTGTGCATGCATTTGAAGAGCACGTGCTATGAGCGCTAGGGATGCACGATATTATTGGACCTATATCGGAATCGGCCGATAATGGCTTTAAATGTAAATATTGGCATCGTCCCGCTATGAAAAATTATGCTGATATGTCTTGCCGATAAGAGGAATACGTTAGCTCATATGTGCTCAGGGTGTGCAGTGTGGCTCATTCTTGAAGCAAAGTTTTGTCTGAATGATGATTAGATTCACTGTTTTGGATTGCTGCATTTAATCTGTGAAAGCACGTACAGAATTACGCGTTTGGTGTGTGATAGAGTAAACCGTAATAGCAGGTGCAGCAGCAGTGACAGCCTCCCCCGGGTCCTAACGCCCGAGTTTTAATCTGTAGGAGGCGCTGTTGACCTACTTCTAATTAAATTAAAAGGAAAATAGCCTACACAAATAACATTTAGACTGTGTTTCTGATTAAATAAAGCAGTATTTAAGAAGCTATAGCTTAAATCACAAACATGACACTTGTAAATTAAATAGTTTTATATATACCGATTTATTCATTAATATGTAGTATGTTTTATTTTTTAAACAAATCATAAGCTTTAAAAGATTTTCAGAATTTTGTCAACTCTTTTGCTTTAGACCATCTACAAATGTTAAATCTTAAAATAAAATGTTAGGGTTAACACGGCATCTTTCTGGGACAAAAGAAATGCAGCGATTGATATATAGTTTATTTAGGCCTATAGTTATTTTCAAAGCTTCAATGTACTGTCAAAAAAAATCTTCATTTTTGTTTATTTAATTCTAGCAGATAAGTTCTTGTTAAAAACATATAAAAAAATATTTTGCTTATAATTTCTGCACAGGAGAGACTTGGTGTTGTTTCCAAACAAAAGGAAATTATTGGTATCGGTATCTGCCAAAATCAGTTGAAAAATATCGGTATATCGGCAGAAATCCAATATTGTGCATCCCTAATGAGCGCAGTATAACGGCTGACAGGAAAATAGTTTTTACTGACATACGGCCTGACAACATCTCATCTGACCGCAGTTGACTGCTACTGTTCAGTGTTACCTCCTCATGTTCTTCAGATCAGTAACGCCATGGACCAGCATGTGACGGAGAAGTGGTTTCACGGGAAGCTGGGAGCGGGGCGAGACGGGCGTCAGATCGCCGAGCGTCTGCTGTCGGAGTACTGCCTGGAGACCGGCGCGCCCGACGGCTCGTTCCTGGTGCGGGAGAGCGAGACGTTTGTGGGAGACTACACTCTCTCCTTCTGGTAACAGCACCAGCTTTACCTCGTCCTCCTCTCAGAGCAGCAGTGGACTGATGGTTTACTCATGAATTGGCTGTAAAATAAGAGCGCTTCTGCGTCGTGCTTTGGTTGATTTTGTGACTGTTTCTTCTGGTCAGGCGGTCCGGTCGGGTTCAGCACTGCAGGATTCACTCTCGGCAGGAGGCCGGCAGCCCCAAGTTCTACCTGACGGATAACCTGGTGTTCGACACGCTGTTCGCGCTCATCACACATTACCAGCAGGTGCCTCTGCGCTGCAACGAGTTTGAGATGAAGCTGACCGAGCCAGTGCCACAAACCAACGCTCACGAGAGCAAAGAGTGAGTCCCACATCCACCTCACATCTGGTCTAGCTGATGGCCGAAAGGACTTAAAGAGACAGTGCACCCTTTCATTTACTCACCCTCATGTCCTTCTAAGTAACTTGCTTTCTTTGGTTAAAGGATATTGGTAACCAGACTGTTTTGGTTACCATTGACTTCCATTGCATAGACCAAAAACCCCTCCAGACATTTCTCTAAATATCATCTTTTGCGTTCCACAGAAGAAAGTCATTCAGGTTTGGAATGACATGAGGGCTAGTAAGTGACAGAATTATCATTTTTGGGTGAACTGTCCCTTTAAGAATAGGGATGCTATGAGAGTTTTGGTCAAAATGATCACAAACTGTTATTTCTATCATGCGTCAGGAAATTATAATATATAGTACTGTGGATGGATAATTGTTTAGTACTTTTGAAACATAGAAAGAGCATACTGTTTGAACTGAGAATAATTATCAATTAATAAGCAAAAGAAAGAAAGAAAATATCTGATTCAATTATGGGCTGAAACAATAACTGGTGAGAAAAAAAAATGGTTTGAAAAAGCCCCAGGAAGTTTTATTGGTAGATAATTATTTCTATGTTATGGCCAGTGGTAATATACAATGGCCAATAAATATGCTGAATAGTATAAAAATAATATATTAAAATTGATTGTTTAATATTTGTCACATTTTTAAGTGTTATAATAATGTCTTTCAATTATCTTTATTTGGGGGCTTTTCTCAGCAAATATTGATATGCTGTCAACTGTGAATTTAATTAGATTGCAGTTAATTTCGTGATATGCTAATTGATTAATATATTGACATCCCTAAAATTACCCTACTGTTCAAAAGTTTGGGGTTGGTAAGATTTTTGGGTAAGATGTTTTTGAAACGAATCTCTTCTGCTCACAAACGCTGCATCAAATACACAGTAATATTGTGAAATATTATTACCATTTAAAATAGCTGTTTTCTTTGTGAATATGTGTTAAAATGTAATTTATTTCTGTGATCAGAGCTGTATTTTCAGCATCATTACTCCAGTCTTCAGTGTCACATGATCTTCAGAAATCATTCTAATATGCTGCTTTGCTGCTCAAGAAACATTTCTGATTATTATCAGTGTTGAAAATTATCAATTGTCGAAATGGTGATACATTTAATTTTTTCAGGATTATTTGAGTAATAGAAATTTTAAAAGAACAGCATTTATTTAAAACAAACAAAACAGCTTTTGTAACATTAGAAATGTCTTTAATGTCACTTTTGATCGATTTAATTCATCCTCACCACAGTTTGAGGTCCTGAATGGATCTGTTGTGCGCAGAGTAACACATTCACCGTAAGTGATGACGAGGAGGATGAAGGCTTTGTTGCGGAGCAGCCTGAGGATGGATGCTGTATACGAGTAGCTCTCTGGAGAGATCCTCCGAGCCGTGGCTTGAGCGTGGGTGGGAGGGATCTCCGGACGCTCCTGAAACACTGATGAGAATATAAAAACACAAAATCCTCTAGTCACCAGTCACATACTGTACATCAAAGAACTTTTCATTTACATCTCGTCATTGTCTGGCGGAAGCCTCATATATCCTTTTTTTTATATATAAATCAATGCTATTGGTCACTCTTTATGCCTATATGTGGGTTTTATATATATATGTAACCAATAAAAAGTATTAAAAAGAGCTTGTGACTGAACCTTGTAACTCCATAGGACCCTAAACTGTCGGCAAAATCTCATAGTTTAAAGGAAAAGTCATTAGAAATAAGTTCTAAAAAAAAAAAAAAAAAAAAAATCAAAAGTAGTTTATTTATTGATTCTCTTTGTAAGTAAGCTAGCGTGTGAGTGGTAGAGCGGCAGGCCTGGAGCAGGGTTTGTGTGCTGTTCCTGTCCTCCCGTGTTTCCCGTCTAATCTGAACGTGTGTTTTCTGTGCAGGTGGTATCACGCGTCTCTGTCCCGCAGTCAGGCTGAAAACATGCTGATGAGAGTCCCGCGTGACGGCGCTTTCCTCGTTAGGAAGAGAACAGAAGTCAACTCTTTCGCCATTTCCTTCCGGTGAGATCCAGGCTACCGCTCTCATGTTGTATTGTGTGCTTGTCTCTGCAGCTCTACACACTCTCGTCTGTTTCTCTCAGGGCGGAGGGCAAGATAAAGCACTGCCGCGTGCAGCAGGAGGGACAGACGGTGGTTTTGGGCACCTCAGAGTTTGACAGTTTAGTAGATTTAATCAGTTACTATGAGAAACATCCACTGTACCGTAAGATGAAGCTGCGCTACCCCATCAACGAGGAAACACTGGAGAAGATCGGCACTGCGGTGAGTGGATCTGGATGAACATCTAATCTGTGATTAAAGGGAAAGTTCACCTAAAAATGAAAAATCACTTCCGCACCTTCATGTTGTTCCAACCCTGAATGACTTTCAGAAAACAAGATATTTTAAAAGAAGATATAAGAGTCTTGTTAAACCACTGACTTCCTTTGTATGGACAAAAATAAAAGCACTTATGTACGTTTCTCAAAATATAATTTGTTCCACAGAAGAAAGTCAGGTGTACAGTTTTGGTCTGAAATGAGAACAGAACGACAGGATTGTCATGTTTGGGTGAACTGTGCCGTTAAAATAAAGTGTGACAGAAAATAGCTCTAATTGTGCGTTAAGACGAAATTTATGCTGTAACAATTACAAAGTGAAAAACAAGGTCTTTTTTTTTTTTTTGACGTTTTCATAAAGCCGTTACTGAATCTCAAATCCAACAAAAAGTTAGGTCATGCATAATCATTAGAGCCCAACCGATATATCGTTTAGCCGATATTATCGGCCGATATGTGGCTGTCGCAGATATATCGGTATCGGCGAATATGCCAAACTTTTGACTATACTGTACTATAATATAGCATACACATAAAGAATATCGGCCGATATATCGGTATCGGTCTTTTTTTACTCCCTAATATCGGTATCGGCCCCCAAAAAACCCATATCGGTCGGTCTCTAATAATCATGACTGATAACTGTTCATTATTGATAATTTGTGACTTGTGCTCATTGGTAATATTAGTATTAAATGTATTAATGTAGCTAGTGTTTTGTTCTAATGCTTAATTACAACAATTAATTTGATGCATCTCAATAAATTTGTTGAATATCTTTATCTGTGATTTTTTTTAAGAACATTCTTTTCAAGATTTTTAATTCTTAAATTGTTTTAAGAACAGTAGTGAGAAAAAAGATTTAATGCAATTAAATTAGAATAAATAAAGAATGCAAAATATTCTTAACCTTATTCCTTAGAAGTTAGAAAATAAGAAAAAGGCATTTAACAAGAAGGTTATGTTTTTTTAATCTATTTTTTGTACAGTCTTTCTTGGAAACTGCTGTTTGAAAGAACCAGCAGGTTTTGCGCTAGATCTGTGTATTATTGTGGTTTTGGTTTTCAGGTTTACCTGTTAATTTTCAGTCAGCTGGTCTTACTGTCAGGCGGTGTTTGTGTGGACTGAGATAAGTGAAAGGTCGTTCTTTTCTGTCTGCGTGCAGGAGCCTGATTATGGATCTCTGTATGAGGGCCGTAACCCGGGATTCTATGTGGAAGCCAATCAGATGCCCACGTTTAAGGTACCTCTGCGCTCCAGCTGCAAAATGAGTTTCTCATGCTGTTGACTTTAGTGTATGACGGGTTTGTGTGTGTGTGTGAGCAGTGCACAGTACGAGCCATGTATGAATACAAAGCCCAGCGCGATGATGAACTTTCCTTCAGTAAGAACACCATCATTCAGAACGTGGACAAACAGGAAGGAGGCTGGTGAGTACAAGACGCTGTCAAAATACAGCTGCCAGTTCAGCGTGAAAGAACCCTGAGGACCTTTTATTTATGTATGTGTGTGTGTGTGTGTATATATATATATATTGTGTGTGTGTTTGTTTTTGTTGTGTTGTGTCAGAGGCGCTCTGGGCTCCGACCTTTACCCCTGTTCTCGCTCTCGCTCAGCAGGCCACAGAGAACAGTCCTCTGGGAGATCTCCTGAGAGGAAGTGTGGACGTGTCTTCCTGTCAGATCGGTGAGTGTGTGTGTGTGCTCCTCTTCCCTGATACACACTCATCAACACATCGCTGTGTGAGGCCCTTACAGAGACACACGGCGCACACACTCACACACACACACTCACACACACGCAACGCACGCACACACACACATACACACACACATTGTTTGAATTTAGATTAGAGCAGCCTGAAGATTTAAAATAAACGTGAAAAAATTTTTTGTTTGTTTTTTTAGCTTTTTACCTAATAATTCAGAAATAAATATCTAAATATTTCTCTCTCTCTCTCTATAATTAATTTAATAATTATTAATTAATAATAAATTAAGTATTGATTTAATTTTGTTATTATTATCGATAATACTACTACTAATAATAATAATAAGTAATAATTGTTATTTTTTTATTTTTTTATTTTTTCCATGTATTGCAATAATGAGAGAGATCCTGTATTTTTTTTAACAATATAGCTCAACCCTAACTATTTTAGTATCATTTATATACTATTTTAGTTTGTTCATTTTTTAAATTTTAATTTCATTTTAATTTTAGTGAAAGTTTTTGTGATTTCTATTAGTTTTTTTAATTACTTTATGAAGTTTTTTTTCTAAACTAAAATTAATTAAATAAATAAAATTAATAGTTTATTATATGTATATATATTTTATTGTATTTTATTTTATGTTAATATTTTATTTCAGTTAATGTTCATTTCAACTAATGATTTTCTATCTCTCTATCTATCTATCTATCTGTCTATCTATCTATCTATCTATCTCTTCTTTCTTTTTCTTTCTTTCTCTTTCCCGGCTAACGTCACCAAACCCTCTTATTTTTCCACTGTCGCCTTTTCATATACGAGACTTTTTTTGACCATAAGTTCAGTTCAGTCACTGTGCTGCCATACACTCTCCCCCTCTTTGAGCATCCTGTTTCAGAACAGAAATATGTTGATTGCGGTAAATTGAGTTGGGCTACTTTTCCACTGTTGCTGCGGGTTAAAGCGATCTCCCCCGACTCCCCGGATCACTATTTTAACGGAGGGGATCCCCAGCAGAGGGGAAGACCGCAGAAAAATAGCTTTTGGGCTGGTTTTGAATCGCAGTTGGGCTGGTTTTGTTTGACAGACCTGGCAGCCCTGAGTTGCATGCTGTTTGATGTTGTCTTGAGCTGTGTGTATGTTGTCTCTCCTGCAGTGGTCAGGCCTGAAGGGAAGGGCAGTAGACAGTTCGTCTTCTCTTTGGTCCCTGTGGCTTCACCTCGCACCGGCCCAGTGCTGGACATCGCAGCCAGTTCACAGGAGGAGCTGAAGGACTGGGTGATGAAGATACGCGAGGTCACCATGACCTCTGAAGCCAAGGTCAGCTACCATACCATATCTCCTCCTCTCCAGTAGGCTTGCCGCGATAGACGGTGCTGACGGTGATACCGGTGTTAAGCCGCAACACCGGTTACGTCACTTGCCCACCGCGTCACCGACCCCCACCGTCGTTTAGATTTTTTTATAGTAATAAAAATCTTTTAGTTCAGTAAAAGAACAGACACTACAATTAAAAACTGAACGCGGCTGCTCAATGCAGCGTGCCGAACGACAGTCGCATCACAGATCAGATTTAATTTCTCCAGTGAGGAGAGTGAGTCGAGCTGACTGACAAGAAGAGTGAGCTGAGACAGACAAGACGATCGCGGATGATTTAGTTTCGAAACTAGATGCAAAAGAGCCTGTTTGGCAATATTTTGGCCGTTTATCTAAGGTGATTTTGGAAGTTTTTTTAAACATTCGTTTCTTATTTAATTGGTTCCACATTGTTTGCTGATTTTTATTTTATTTAAACTTTGTGTCATTTATTTATTTTATTTGACATCAAGGTGTATGCCGTGCCTCCAAGCTTTCTTACTCGTTTTGCTAATAAACGTTCTGCGTTTCTTATTTATTTGGTTATATATTATACATGTTTACTTAGCCTATTTCCAGTTTTGTATACCTATTTAAACTTTATGCAAATTATTTGTTATTTTATATTAGGCATAGCCTGCCCTATA